GGCTTGCCAGTCCTGCCCGGCCACGGCCGACCCGGCTCCAGGCTTGAAGTGGTGGGCTCAGGCTGGGGGAATTAACAACCTTCCCCACTCCTTCTCCCTTTTGGAGCCAGTGTACGCGCAACACGGTGTTTGCTGAGCAACCTCCTGAGTTTTCGGTCAGACCTTAGCCTATGCAGCTTCCCCTCCCTGATGTACAGGTTTGCATTACTGCTGGCCAGTCCAAAACTAATTTAGTTAATTGCTTAACTACAAACAAGCATTTCCCTGCTTTCATGAAGTGTAGCTAATCAGACATCATTTTCTCGCATTCCTTGGATTCTTTACGTGGGTCAGTACTATTCCCTCCACTTGTGCACACCTTTATTATGTGGGGATTTGTGAAATGATGAGGCTTTTGCGGAAGGATGCCCTCGCCTTCGTTCCATGCAAACCCAAAGCTCCGATGCCTCTTTGGAGAGAAATTAGAAGCCTGGCTCTGGGTTTTTGTCAGTATGAGCCTGTTTAGCATTCACAACACTGTCTTTAAAAGCGGATTGTACCGCAAGGTCAGCGAGGGAAACGATTGAGTGCAACTTTATCTTAATGCTGCAAGCAGTTAATTAACATCAGTAAATTGTTTAGTGTAATTGCCTCCGTGGGTCAGGCCCTCTCTCTAAAGGAAGCCTACATTAGTTTTGAAATGAAATTGCCTGTTAGGTGCTTGCTTTATTAGCAGAGACTCTCTAGATGTCCAACACCAAAAGCTAGGATTGCATCACAGATATTTTTTGGTGAAGAAAGTAAAAAGGTCCTTCTGAGAACCTCTAGCGCGGCTTTTCAGCTAACACGGCTGCTGTGGGAGATGTCCCTGCAGACCCAGGAGCTGGTGCAGGTTGTAAGGGATCGACTGGAGCAGCGGCGGGTCCCGCGTCACTGGTCCCAGTCTGGCAACGCTGTGGCAGCCTTTGCTTATTGTACTGGAAGCACTCACATGAAATCCCGTCTCATGTGGGTCCTGGGTTGCAGGTTCAGTCTCTGGTTCAGACCTCATCATTTGCAATGCCCAGCTGCTGGCTGGGTCACTCACGCTCCTCAGGTCAAGCCACATTGAAGGTTAAAACTCATTTTTTTAGCTTTACCAGAGTTTTGACTGCAACACAAGAGTAATTCTGTTTTACACAGCCATTTTCTCATTATACACAAGTTTATTACAGAAATAAACCACTTTTGTTATAAAAGGTGCGCAGCATAAACGTTGACAGCATCAGCTGGGTCTGAAAGATGCAAAGAGAGGGAATGAAAGGGAATGAAATGGTGTTGTCTCAGGCTTGGATATCTCTTGTTTTGGGCAGCACTTCTGGTTCTGCCACCAACACAGCCTGTCGCTTCTTAACCGTCACTTCGCGATGAACGCGGATGCTTGTGTGTCTGGCTTTTAAGTGGTATCCAGGTTGTCAGGCGCTGCGCGAGGAGCACTCGTGCATGGGGGGAGCGTTGCTGAGCCCCTCGGGTGCCCCTTGGTCTGACAGTTTTGTACGTAGCTTTTGTACGGCTTTTGGGAGGCACTTGCACAGCGCAGGTGAGTGCTCAGGCATCAGAGGCTTTGGAGCAAGTTAATAAAATCCCATAAATTCCTAAAGCAGCAGCAGGGTCCTGCGGTTCTTCCCAGAGAGTCTTTATCCACAGGCAACGCCTTTTAAAAATAAGCCAAACCCCCAATTCCATGGCTTCCCTGTTGCAATGAATCCCCAAATGCATTAGACACCTTGTGGGAGAATATGCCCCATCCGCATGCTGAGTGATGCTTTATATAAATAGCTCATGTACACTTGCTATATACAAAATATTATGTACATGTGGTGTTACTTTATTTGGTGTGAAGCTCCGAGTATCTCTTGTGGAACTGCTCCCAAGATGCTGGGGCAGGAGATCACAGCAGACGATGCTTATGGTTGTGCTGTCTGAGGAGAGGCAGCGAAGGCACCTGGAAACAGGATGAAAAGCCCCTTTTCCAGCAGCCCTGCCACCTGCAGAGCTATTCCTTCAGCAGACCGAGCTTCTTCAGTGCCTCTCGCCGGTTCTCATCAGTCGTGCCCTTGGGGGAAATTGTCACACTGACACAGGAGCGGGGGGGCCTGGGGAAGTTCTGCAGCGGGTGGGATCTCCGCTTGCTGCTCTTCTCCTGCTCCACCTGCCCGGACTCCTTCAGACCAGCAAAGTCCTTCCCTGCCCCGAGGGATGCTGGCCGGGGGCGTGGGGGGGGGAGCCGCTCGATGAAGGACATCTTGCCCAGGGAGCTGCTGGTCTTGACGCTCTGCTCCTTGGTGCTGGCCATGTAGCTGCTCAGCCCCACGCCGGAACGCTCCAGGGTGTTGGATTTGAAGTTCATCTGCCGGATAGCAGGCACTGACCTCTCCGCTGCCCCGCAGCGTGCCTCGGGCTCCCCAGGGACGGGGAACAGCATCTCCCTCGGATGGGGATGCGTGGTAGGTTGAAGGTGGGTGCTGGGCTCCTTCCTGTCGTGCGACAGTCCAAGCTTCTCCAATGCCTCCCGCCGGGCTTTCTCCCTCTCCTTGGGGTCGAGGTGCCCCGAATTTGCCTTTTCAGCAGCGATGTCACTGGGAAAGCCGGGCTGAGAGCCAGCTGAGGATGGCGGTGGTGCTTTTACCTTCTGGCTGGGCTCTGTGGCAAGTGGCACTGGGCTGTTTTTGCTGGTTTTCAGGATAATATTTGGTGGCAATTTCCGTGGTTTGGGGGCAGTTGGAGGCCCACGCTTGGCATCTGGGTCCTGAGAGGCCACTTCCAACAGGGATTTCTCTGGCTGGCCCCATGAAGTCCAGGTCTTGGTCTCTTTGGCTGTTTCCCTCTTGGCATCTGAGCGATTGCTACGTGACCACTCGTGGCTCACCAGGTCATCCTGGAAGGGATCTGGAGGCTGGATAATCAAAGATCCCTGGGACTTCATCTGGCTTCTTGTGTTGGCTTGGTCAAGCCCGTCCTCCTTGGCCATCTCCTGTGAATATTTACCTACTGGCACCGGGTCCTCCACTGTGCGGACAGTCGCTTTGCTGTCAGAAGCTCCGTTTGCTCTTTGTGCGTTTGCTACAGTGATGCTCCTTGGAAGACTGTAATAGCCTGGGCTTGGAACCGCTGCTGGAACGGAGTTTGAAAGGGCAGAGATGTTCTTGCCACTCTTCTGTTCGGCTGCATGCTGCTGACCTACACTCAGAGAGGGAGCCCCATTTTCCAAATCTAGGCAAAGAGAGAGACGTGAAGTCATGCACCGTTCTGCACACAGACACAGGACACCTTCCTCTTCACAGATTCACTTCTTCACACCTGCGAAACCAGTGCAGCCATGGCAGAGTACTTGCACCCAGAGAGTTTACCCTGACCCCAGCTAACATGCTGTCACAGCTAAGAAAGTCAGATAGTTTGGGTTTAACAGAGCACACGGTGCATGAGGAGCCTCGTTAATCTGTGCGAGCCTGTTCAGAGCACGAGCAAAGATGTTCTGCCCTGCAGCTCTGCTGACCTTGATAGCTGCTAGCAGCTCCTGCACATGGGAACTGGGAAAATGCAGTTGGGGCCCTGCCTATCTCGCTGCCTACAGCCACCTCTCCCCACGGAGTGACGAGAACAAGCTGGTTTTAGTGCATGAAACCGGGGCAGTGCTCCTTCCCTGCCTGCCAAGGGAGCGCACCCCAGCGAGAAAGACCCTTTGGAAACAAGGGCTGGAGGACGGGTTTCCAGCTTACCCCGGGGACCGGAGTCTCTCTTGGACCACGTCCCGGGCAGCTTGGAGGGCTCCACGTAGTCAGTCTCATCGGTAGAGACCCCGCTGTCTGCTTCTGCATCCAGAACCGGGGCAGTGCTCCTTCCCTGCCTGCCAAGGGAGCGCACCCCAGCGAGAAAGACCCTTTGGAAACAAGGGCTGGAGGACGGGTTTCCAGCTTACCCCGGGGACCGGAGTCTCTCTTGGACCACGTCCCGGGCAGCTTGGAGGGCTCCACGTAGTCAGTCTCATCGGTAGAGACCCCGCTGTCTGCTTCTGCATCCAGTGAGCCAATAGTTTCTTCTAAG